ATGCAAGGAATGCAACAGAAAAACGAGCATCCACTCCGACCTAGCCATTCCGGGCAAGGTTCCATTCCGCAGACCCGATTGCGACTCCTCCGATAGCTGCAGTTCAAATGAAGTGGACAATGAGTCGTTTAAAAAAGTAAGTTGTAATTGGTCACACTGCAGCTGATATGCTACTTGCAGCGTAATTATTACCGACAGCCAAGTTTGGCTACCGTTGACATTGCGGCTGATGTGCTACTGCGGCGCAATTACAATCGACAGCCAATTTTGCTCTGCACGTGGTGCCGTGTCACACATGAAGCACCAATGCACTATATACTCCCCGCCCCCTTAGCGAATATATCAGTGCATCGCTGCTCCACTACTGCACGGGCGCCGGAACGTCGTATTGAAGATGTTAGTAAACTTGCAGTATGCTGAAGAGCTATTTTATTTTATTCTATCGTGGTATGAGCGCAGCTTAGTCACATTTTTTTGTACAATTGACTGGTTTAAAATTATTTTTGCTTGTGCGGATATACGTCCTGTTTGTGCTTGCGAACTAGAAGTGAAATTTGTGTGTTGGGTTGTCTGCAGTCATAAGAAACACGACATCAAGCTGCTGTTAAGCAGAAGACAAGGCACGTCAGCAACCGTTTTAAAAAGCAGCCGGGAGGCCTGCTGTTTGCTAATGCTGAAAAAAAGTACAGAGAAAGAGCTTCTGAAAGAAGTGAATATATATGCTCAGGGCTCAAAATACAAAAGCATTAGAAAGAATAAGCCGACTGGAAAATGCCCTTCGCAGCAAAAATTTCCAAACAGGTTTATCATTTCTTCATAAGCTGTTGTAACGCACTGCTGCTAGGGTTGTATGCAGCAGCAAGTTGCCCTATTCTTATAGCGTGCAATTTTGCTGAAAAGCAGAATGCAATGTAAGCTCATGGGTGGCATGGATCCATGCATATTTTTATAATCACTTGAAAATGTTCTTTTACAACTTTCACAGTGTGGTGGATATTAAAAAGAACACCACTTGGTCAAAATTTCTTGAGCCCTCCACTACGGCATCCCCTATAATCACACCATGGTTTTGAGACGTAACATGCAACATCATTACACTTTAATTGCATATCTCAACTGCATGCTATGTTTATAATATATATTATTTGACCATGCACACCTAGGATGCTACCGTGACAATTAAGGGTGCAATATACTTTATTTCTGCACACTCTACTTTTTCATTGCAGCAAAGAACCTTGTCCTTTGCGGGTGTTGGAGCCACAAGCCTCAAAAACAGAAACGACTTGCACCTTTGCCACCACTATGTGCTGCCACGCTGGAACCACCACAGCGACCACGGATAGCCCTGAAGTAGCCCACTCAAGTGTGAGGGAGGCTGCACCGCTTATCAATTATTTGCCCACTGACAGAGAGGTATCATAAAACTCTAGTATGCTTTGTCTTGGAGATATATTGCTTTGCTTTAATGAGAAAATGTGCATTGACCAACTAATGTGTGCACATCATCTTTGACTTGTTTTATAGGTGCATCAGAGCAAAGGAATTGCCGTTCCCAAGAGGTTGTACAATCACCTCATGGGCTTGAAAAGACAGACCCGTTTTGTTCGTGACGCGGCCGTTGCCAATTTTTATACAGCAGGCCTAGTCGGTAGAAGTGTTACTGGCGCAGCCTCCAATCGGTCTAAAAGGGAGGCGAAATCTCCCTAGGAGAAAGAAACATATGCTGTGTTTTCAGGTAGGTGAAATTTTGCAATCTGACCAAAATTCATGGAAGTTGGTGGCTTTATTTTTGCACGTAATCAGCCGAGTTTTCACTGCCAACTTGCGTTTAATTACTTACTAAAGCTTCAAGAGTAGCTTTTGCCTACTGGAGCTGGATACTTTTATGCAAGAATCCACAAACTAATTTTAAACAATATTAGAGAGGCAGACTGGTAGCACATCTACTTATTTCCTTGTCATATTGACTCCTCTATTTAGAGTGCACATAATTGTCGCTTAATAAGTGCCTGTAACTTGCTTTGTTTTCGATCATGCAGATTTCTTCAACCATTTTTTTGAAGCCCACCGTTATGATTGGAGAGGTTGAGCAAATGAAGAAGCTTCTCAATAAAGCTTTGGCAAACAAAATTAATGACTTTATGAAATCAAAAGATTGACCAAAGAATGGCACATCAAATAAAATATTTTAGTTGATTTCTGTGTTCATATTTGTGTCCTGCTTGCTCTGATGTAGTGGTGCACCTGCCAGTTGGATAAGCACCGATTCGCTTGCGGGCCTATCAGAGTAGAATGCTACACTTATAGGCTGGCACACGAGTACTGGTACACTGGTAGACTGGTACACTGATAGACTGGTACACTGATAAACTGGTACACTGATAGACTGGTACACTGATAGACTGATACACTCATAGACTGATACAACTGTCAATAACCTGATAGCCTACCAGTTTTTCTATCAGAATTTTTGCTAAGAAATGCGAGACGATGAGACGCCGTTCGCGCTGAACTCGAATCTACGCCAGCAAAGCAGAAAAAATTTGAACTGATGCAGTCGGCTCTTGAAAGAAATGCCCTACGTCTGAAAAAAACTAAAAAAAAACCCGAACATAACTTAAAAAAAATGGAGGGAAGACATAACAGGAAAAGAGTGCACAAGGACACTTGAAGCTACTCTGCTAGAGCTTTATGAGAAGACACATGTGCTGAACTTTCAAAGCCTGTTTTCTCAAAATGAACTTTTTAGCCAGTTGTGGTCCTCAGGAAAGCGATTTCTCAAGAACTGCTGAACAGATTTGTGTACCGTTTGTTTTAATCTACTCCTAGATGATTTTGCCAAGGTGTAACAAGCTTCTTTTTTTGAAAATTGGTACCATTAATTATTAATAAACAAATAATTTTTGATAAATGTCATACCTACTGGCTACATCAAACTCAAAGTTGCATAAAATTTTTTGGAGGTGAAATTAAGAAAAAAAAAAGGCTCTTTAGCACCCTAGGATATCTATTCAGGGATGACCACAAATAATTTCAGCCTTCGGGTATGTCCTGGGATTTCTTCCGGCTCTTCTTCCGGCACAAAAGTGAACCACCAAGTAAGACCTCAGTAACTTCTAGAACCCTTAACACAATTTCATGAAAGTTTGCAGTTTTTTCAGTTTTGATGTAGTGAACATATCCTGAAAGTTTCATTAGGATATCTTAAAAAATAAAAAAGCTCGGTTTCCGGAGTAGCCTCCCCCCTTAAGCGAAAGCCAAGTGCAGATGCCCTTGACTTAATTCCGAACGTCCGATCCAGTGCCTGCATACATGGGGTGGTCAGTGAACACTTGTGCAGCATGAGCAGGTGTTTTTGACTAACAGACGCTGCCTGCATCGGCCTCGCGAGGCGAGAGAGGGGGGGAGAGGGAGCGATAGTTGGCATGAAATGCAAGCATGGCCAGTAGGGGTGCAGACATCATCGCTGACGCCGGATTTGCAAGTATGTGGGACTATAAAATGCTCCGCATCTAAAAGAAGCTTGCATTATGCCTGCACCTCTGATCCAGATACAGACGACTGTACATATGCTAAGCAAGAGTGACGGGACACTTCTGACAATGTACTCTCGCTGATTACATCACGTATTTAGGTGTACTTAAGTACGTTGTGCCGTTCTCATGGTTTTTTTATTGTGAACAAGACTCCCTCTCATATCGGGTGCTGAAAAGTCAGTAAACTTTGTGTTTTATGGGTTGGTGCATCCATTTGCATTTACCCTGAGAAGCAAGAGTTATGCACTTTCTCTTTCTTTTTTTTTTAAGTGCCTTCTAGCAGCAGCGGAGAGAGAAGAGACTTTTTAGAATTTGATCAATGGTAATGCTCATTTTTGTGATGGTCGCACAGAACTGCTATCAGTTTCCATGCCAGGTTTTTCAGAAATTCCCTGAGCTTTGATTTGAGCAACCACAGGCCACGAAAAAATATAACAGGAAAGTTGTGTCCATTCGTGTGAACGAACATGTACATAATTTTGAGGCATGTGCACGAAACAGGCAACAGCTCACCCTGTTGTTCACGAAAGGAAGCTTCATGAAAACATAACTAAAGCGATAAACAGTAGCTTCAAACACTCACGGCTACTCCTAAATGCCCCATCCCATCTCGCATGGCGGAACAAGCTTTAGAAGATAACACCACGCTTGTAATAACAAGTGACGGCGCAGTCCCCAAACACCCGCATTGCAATTTTTCGAGTCCTCACAAAGGTGGTGGTGAGCGCATATTGTATCTTTCCGGCATTTGCTAGCCCGAAATCTACCCAAAACCTTCCAGAGAGCTTCGACAACTAATTTGTTCAGGAAGCGTCCGGCGACCTTTGGGCTCCCCTTGGGTAGCCAGAACCTTCCGACCCCCCCCCCCCCCCCCCCCCCCAAAAAAAAACGAATGCCAACCGGAAGTGCGCCACGGAGGGGCGAGGGTAGGGGGGCAGAGGCGGACACGACACAATCTAGAGGCGGGAACGACACAATCTAAGAAACACGAGCACACTCTGGCTGGCCCCCCACGGGCAGCCTACAGTGGAAAATCGAAGAGCCCCATTGCTGAGAAGCCCCACTTAAGGTTAAAGGAACATAGTACTTTCATATAAATTCATGATTTTTTTTAAGTTTAAAAGCTTGCTATACCAGATTACATGCTCTAAACATAACAAATTTTAAAGCAGGACATACTATTTTACAGGTTATTATTGGCATTCTACTGAAAGTGAAATCCTGCTACAATTCAAAGTTGCTTCCACATCTTTTCAACCGGAAAGATTGATGTTTGTCTATGCCTCATTTCAATTAAAATACACATAATGTGCAAATTAGGAAGGTCATAACAGATATTCTTTTTATAATGTATAATATATACTATTCGAATTGGATTGAAAATTATTTAACGGAGCTCACTATTTGCTTCGAATTCACTATTTGCATAAGCCACACTTATGCCCCACAAAGACGACCCACCTCTGTGTCGGTGGGTTCTTCCTTGAGTGCAGTGGGGCACGTGGTCGCAATGTCTTCGAGCGACTGCAGTCCTGTTGTGGCTGCAGGCAGCAGTGTGGCCGGCTGAGCACTGCGTAGCGGAGCATTGACTACTGCCGTGCCCAGGACCAACTCGATGCACTGCTTGATCCAGAAGTGAGGACCAATCGTCTCCCAGTTCTGGGAGCACACGATGAACAACAGTCGTTCGTGCAGGCGCCGACGCATGCTGCTGTCGAACACCTGCAAGCCACCACAGAACAAGGCAGAATAACGAGATTGAGTGCGACCTCTGAAGGCATCAGTGAATGAGATCGTCCCTTTTACATTCCAAAGAAGTTCTTTTCAAGAGAAGAAAGTCAAAGTTTTAAGGGCTCATTTTTTTTGTTGACAAGATATTATTAAAAAGTAGCATTCAATAATGCCACGTAATGTATTGGGGATGCTACTAGTACTAAATATGACGTAAATACGAAGAAAGAAAAGTGAATGAAAAGATAACTTGCCCCGGAAATATTTACAAGTTATCTATTATCAAGAGATAACCTTTACGTGAAAAAACAAAATTAGTATTATGATCACTTCTGGAGGTGCCATTGCTTTCATGAAATTTGATGATATAACAAGTATTATTGGTGCAAGAGCCACTGTAAGCCAAAGAGCGCTACTATTATGATGAGAAATGTTCACTGTGGTCAATGGTTCGAAATTATGGAATATATGATGGCAGTAAAGAGGCCTTAAAAGCAGGCACTCTTAGTAAGCATCAAAGATATATACAGTATTACCTCTTTGACTTGAACTCGCATATCTGGAAAAATCGGCTGTCAAAATTTTCCGCGGCACCGAAAATTTTCCTATACGTACCATGTATATTTTTCGTCTTCTTCAAAGTATTTTTGGGCCGAATTGTGGATAACTTGAAATCTACAGGGAGTGGAATGAAAATTCCGCCGCCAGACCACTTCGTAACATTCGCACGATGCTGCCATGCCTGAAGTCTATCGATTTTTTTTTCTTATTTAGCTGCGCCTGCCATCCGTCTATGTTTTCCGCGAACACAAAGTGCACGAAGTCTCAGTTTAGTAACATATCAACTTTGTCAAGCAACCCTGTGCACCGTCATGTGACAGATGCCTTGAGTAGGGAGGTCCTCTGCACATGCTTAGCATAGTTTGTCGCGTTTGCTTTGTGCAGTATGCATAATTTTCCCCGAGATGTGATTTCCGTTCATTTGCGCTAATCGAGAGGTACGGATTTTTCACTGACTGTCATAAGCGGCAACTTAGTGTGAGTGTGGCAAGCATGGCATCAAAGCAGTGCAAGTCGCTAACGCTAGCAAAAAAAGGTTGCCCTAATTAAGGAAGTGAAAAAAGGAGGCCGAAAGAAATCGAGCATCATGCAGGAATTCAACATCCCAATATTTATGCTTTTGATGGTGCTGAAAAACAAGCAAAAGATGCTGGATGGATTTCAGCAGACATTGTGAAGAACTTTGCCAAGAGGTCATCAAGTGTACAGGTAACAGTGCCGCCAAAAATGACACGACTTTTCTGGAGTACGCGTAGCAGGATGTGGTGATAACCGAAGAAATGATGAACGCCGAAATCCTTCAAACAGCGACTAACAAAGGGGATGACGAAGACAATGACGATGAGGAACCACCTCGAAAGGTGCCAACATCTTTTGAGGCGAGAAACTTGCTGCGCTTGCTTCGAAATAAGGTCGAGTGCAGTGGCGAGGAAGATTGACAGATGCGATGCGTGAAGCATCTGGAGGACGCCTTCATAGGCCTGAGTACGACCGCAAAGCAGACGAGCATTAGGCAGTTTCTCTCTGCAAAATAAAATGGCAGTGCTGCAACACCCAGCCGGTTATGGTCTTTTGTATACTTTTTTTTTTCCTTTTAAAACTGTACGATAAAAAAGATCGGTTAAAGTTTTTTGTAAACCTTTTTCCCCCTTTTAAACCTGTACGAGAAGAAGGATTAGAAACTGCCACTGACCAGCTGGTAAGCAGTCGTGAGTTTTCTGAATACGCTCATTTTTCCCGGTCAGCGCAACTTTGCTTATGAAGAAAATCCATTTATCTCGAAATTCTCCCTGGTTCTTATGACTTCGAGTTAAAGAGGTATTACTGCACAGTCGAATCCAACTACAGTGAAATCTCGATAGTATTTATCTCAAGAGACTGCTAAAAATCATTCCAAATTTTAAGAATTTGTTGTTGTGAAAGTATTTAAAATTAGCGCAAAAAGTGAAAGTATGAACACGAACAAATGAGTCGCCTAGCTGTGCCTTGTATACATTTGTGACGATGTTAAGCTCGAATGAGTGCTAAAAAACAAACATGAAATATTACTGAATAAGGGCATGTTTATTTGAAAAAAACACGATCTATTGTGGAATTACCCACAGGCTAGCAGTGAAATTCCCACAGTAGTGGGCGATTCCACTGCTGAAAGACGAACTCTTACGTGCGTGTATTCTTCTTACGCACTGCCAAGCGTCAGCATTAAATACCACTTCTTTATGTTGGTTCGCACAAGCTGCTTCAACTTCGTCTCAGCTCTTGTCGCCGTTTCCTTATCACGACAAATGGTATGGATCTTATTGGTCGTGAGCTAAACTCACGTGCATGCTTCGTCGTCACACTGTTGACAGCATTCGAACGATGCACGAAAAATCATCGGCGACTTATACCTAACAGCCACTTGCGTCGCATTCTTCGCTGTCATAGCATACTTTCGAGCTGCTCCCAAAGATAAACTCGAACGTGCAACTGCCGACCAAAACGCTCGCAGACAGTCGTGAAACAAGCGCCCAGGTCAAGCTGTCCGATGAAAACAACGGGAACAGAGCGAAACACGAAAAAGGTCAAGCTGTCTGATGAAAACAACGCGAATGGAGCCTGACACGAAAAACAAGTACCAGGCGATGGTGATCGCGATAAGGCTATTGATTGATATGTGGGGTTTAACGTCCCAAAACCACTATATGATTATGAGAGACGCCGTAGTGGAGGGCTCCGGAAATTTAGACCACTTGGGGTTCTTTAACAAGCACCCAAATCTGAGCACACGGGCCAACAACATTTCCGCCTCCATCGGAAATGCAACCGTCGCAGCCGGGATATGAACCCACGCCCTGCGGGTCAGCAGCCGAGTACCTTAGCCACTAGACCACTGCGGTGGGGCGCGATAAGGCTATTGCACATTTGAATACAATGGGCAGATAGAGAAATACGCAGCCGCTCTAATAATGAGCATAGTGGCACTTGTTGGGCTGGGCATTATTTATACAGACAAGAAAAACTTTTTAAAATCGCTATTCGTTATTTTGAAGAGTTGGGAGATAAAAGGGAGATAAAATTAAATATGTTATTCTGAAACGTTCGGTGGTCTGAAGTTCGTAGTAGTGAAATATTTTTACATTAAATCAATGGACATTTAGAGGGAATCTTCAAAAAATTTGTTAATTTGAAAAAATCATTATACATAGGCTCCTTATAACAAGATTTGACTGCATATCAATCTAGTTTACATCGAAATATCCTGTATATCGAACAACTTTGAAACATGGTATAGTTATAGTTAGGTATAGTTATAGAACATGGTATAGAATATATAGTGAAAATAGCGGTTACATCGAACAAGGATAGCAATGACTCCCGATATATCGAACATCAAGCGGGGCCGACAGAAGTGCCCCTCAAAGTTGGCTTTCCCTCTTATCAGAGCAAAAGTGGCACTCCCTCCCCTTACCCAGCTTACTCCAAAAATGGTTTAACCCAGCAGATCATGGCCCGCGCTCTTTCTACCGACACCGCATCAGTCAAGCCGCCCCCCCCCCCCCCCCCCCCCTGCAAAAAAAAAAAAAAAAAAAAAAAAAAAACACGACTTGCCCTTGAGGCTATCAGGGCCTCTTTTACTTTCGTCTTGCAAGCATGCCGGTTGTGCGAATTATCTCTCTGCATTTCTTGTTTATTGTGCTTAGCATCGAATGTCTGAGCCATGATAATTAGCATGAAGCGGCAGGATTCGCCTTTCGCTGTTAAGATAAAAATTTTCAGTGGTGTCGAACATGGGGAGAAGAAATCAGATGTTGCGGCAGCGCACAAATATTCAAGGAACACTCTCAGCACAATCATGAAGAATAAGACGGAAATTAGGGATAAAGTGAAGAAAAGACCGTGGTCCCCAATGCATACGCACAGACGTGTATGAAGATGTCGAGGCAGCCATGTACAACTGGTCGTCGAGGTTTTGTCGTGCAAATGTCCCATGCCGTTTCTGTACTGAGTCGATCATGGGCTGCCGTGACAAACGAAATAATTTGAAATTGCTTCAGACATGCCGGCTTCCACGTGCTCCTGATAATGAAAATTCAGATGAGTGTGTGAGGAATGAGAGGGAGTGCCGGGGAGTTGAGTGTGGTTGACAGTCGAGGAACGAGATGACGCGCGAGTGGGGTTATATGTGGATCTCTGACGGTGTGTGTAGTTGACGGTCGAGGAACGAGGTGGCACGCGAGTGTCACGTGAACAGTGAAGGGGCGCGCGGGAAGGAGGGAAGCGGGACGCGGGGAGTCTGGATGTGGCACGGAAGTAAATGATTGTGTGAGCATGGTTCCCTGTTGTCAAGTGTATTGTCGTGCAAGACAAGTGCAACGAAGCCATTGCCGGTGCTGCTGAAATTTGTGGAATCTGTTGACGTATCAATGGTCAATAAGTTTGTGAGTGCAGATGATTATGTTGCGACCTCGGGTCGGCTCGAAAACCAAGACTACACTGCCAACACCGCACTGAGCACAAGTGAATGTCGGCACAACGACCAAAGTATTGATGATCCTCAGCCCACATCCACAGAGGCGATTGGTGCTCTTGCACTAGTTCGGTGCTTCTGCACGAATGTGGAAGGTTGTGGCGTCGCCTGCTCCGACTTTTAGACCATGTTGAGAAATGCGTGCTGTCGGAAAAAAATGGAAGGCTATATCACGCTGAACTAAGCTAGCTTTGTCAATAAAGGATTTTATGATTATGTGAATTTTTGATGTCAAATTCTTTAGCAGGCTTATATTAAAGTATGCCCTATATTGAACTGACAGGCTTTTTTTTTTTTTTTGCAAGTTCGATATATCCAGGTTTGACTGTACATAGAATAAAATTATGGCAATGATGTATGGGGTGGTCTATGGTTGTTCGATGACTGACAAGTGATCATTACTACGCAAGGTGAGCAGCAG